GGTTGTTGAGCTCTTTCACACACAGTTCTGATTAATCAATGAAAATGAAAAGTTCATGATTAAAAAAACAGCAGCGTTTTAGTAAAAGTTGTACAACTATTCCCAACAGTTTAGAGTTTTCAGCTCCCAGGAGTCACAATTTGCTGCTTCTCTTTGTCTTACGTTATAGGAAATTGAATATTTTGGGGGATTTTGGGCTGTTAGACAGAAGAAGACTCTGAAGACATTTTGAATCTTGTGCTCTCGGAGACTGTGATGACATTTATCACAATTTTCCTGTTCGATAAAGGATTAAACAAGATCAAAGAAAACAATCATTAATTCAACTGAAACTTACCTGCAGGAGATCACTGGAGATCCCAGCAGCATGTCTGACAGAAACTGGTTAAGGCCACTAACCAAAAAGCAGGAGCAAAAATGAACAAGAACTGACTGATTAAATATACATTTATTAAGAAATAAATATTCTTAAAGTCCCTGCATGAAGCTTTCAGTTTGTGTTGATTCTGGCGACCCCTGTGGACAAAACGTAGTTTTCCCTCGTTTCATTGATTTAAAGGGAATCCGGACCTGTTAGCACGCATCAAGAATAAGAAAAATAAATCCATCTTCTGGCTGATGGTCTTGTCTGTTTTGTTCCGAGACGTTGCTTAACATGTTAAATAATTTTGTAACCAATTCTAGCTGATAGTGCTGAGAGATGTTTCCTCCCCATCTTATTCCACATTATTGGTAAAACAGGCATCTTGTTTTGTTTGTATATGTTTTCTTTTCAAATTCTTCTCGCTGATGGTCTGTTTATGTAAGTCATACAGGAGGATCGTATATAAACTGATTCATTAACGACAGGAGGATCTATGTATCTACTGACAGGTTTGGTATGTTTTGTGTGGCTGTTATATTACTGTTTGTCAAAAGTGTTTTTGTTTTGTTTGTATCAATCCATTTTCAACATTTCTATGTTCCTAAAACAGAAAAGGGGATTCTGAATAATCCTTTTATGCTTGCTTCCCCTCTCCTGCACTGTACTTTACCGTCTTCTATAAGAACGTATATTCTGCTTTGTATTATTTGTGGCAAATAAAGCGGAGCTAATCAGGCGGGACGATGGTTGCTCTGGTAGGTCGGGGGCCTGCGTTCCACGAAAAAAAACATAACAAATATCTCTGAAGTGTTTCACCACTCTGCATAGAGGACACGGTGCTGCGACTGCATGATGAAACACAAAGGGGAAATATGGTGAGTCAGGCAGCTGTTGACAGAAATCGATGAGACGCTGGAACCGTCACCTCTGACCAAGGACGACTCTTTTAACACCACCGACGGACCTGTCGCTTCCCCCGCTGTGAACCACCACACCCAACCCACCCACACACACCACACACCACACCACCACCATCGCTTCCCAGTGACCGGGCCCTGCTTTGACAACATCGGTCTCCGTGGCGACAATGTCTCCGTGGCGACGGGCAGCACCTGTCTCCAGGCTCCCGGGTGGATTAGCCCGGGGGGGGGGGGGGAGTTCCTCTGAAAAAGCCTCACAATGGAATTAGCATGCAGTGCAGATGAAATGGAAAAAAGATTAATCCGCGGTGCGCGCCGTCTAGGAGATACAGGCACTCCCTTAATTCAGGAAATAAAAACGGACAGCGGGTCCTTCGACACCATCTGGACCTTACACCTTGTGTGGGTAATGGGAAGGACGGATCCCCGCCGCTCACTTATAGAAATAAAATGAATAATTTAAATCTGATGCAGCAGGTTAACTTCATGATGCATTTACTGCATATGGAGAGCTGAAACAGTATTTGCATCTGTCTGCTGCTGCCACAATATCCACCAGACATCGGAGCTGCTAAACCTTGCAGGCGGCTTGAAACATCCAGACCGGTCCAAGTTGCAGTAAACGTCAGTTTTTTGTAGCGGTTTTTATAGGAAACCAAAGTAGTGGCTACTCGACCCCTGGGGGGGGTCACCAAAGCTTCCATGAGGGGATCGCGAGCCTTGTTTCCTCATTAGAAAAGGACGAACTTAAAACAACCAAAGGAGCTAACTAACAGAACAATGGCCAAGTGTCAGGGAGAAGAAAACACCTCGAGTTTGAGTTTGTTAAAAAAAGAAGGCAAACTCATCTCTGATCAACATTAACAGGAAATAATCTGCTCATAATTCATCCAAATCACTTGTTTTACACAAACGTCCTGCAGTTACAGAGTTCACTGTTTGTGTTCATTGTACAGTTTATCAGCTGTTCTCTGCTGTTATTGTTCTGCACTGAATATAATATGAAATATACATAAAATATGACCCTTAGTTTACTCAGTGACAGAAAAGAAAAGGTTGGGAACCAGTGAGCTCTATGGTTTGCTGTGACACAGTATGCACATTATTTCATGTTAACTCTTATTTTGTTCATATTTCATATTAGCTTTCAACCTCCCACTGAAGTTACACAAATATACAAACAAATATATTAACAACACAATCATTTTAGATTTTAAAATAACCAAAAACATGAGACTATCACTAAGAGGATCAACAGCATCCACTCGGTTTACATTGTGATCCACTGGGTCAAAAACCAGCTGGATAACTGATAAATATTATTAGTATTGTCAGACTGTGAATCGAAATGTCAGACATTGCTTTGGTGCCGTTTCCTCCATTTCTCCTTTGGGTGGGTGCAAGCTAAATCCCAGGACCCGCAGTTTATTTTCTGACTGCCCGCAGCAAAGTCAAAACCTCCCGCTCCCACAAGATTTAAGTCAAATCCCAGTCCCGGTCCCGGTCCTCTAGTTTACACCACAAATGATCTGCCAAGACCGCCATTTTGAAGAGATCTCGACCCTCTTGTTTGGTCCCATATTCGAGTGCGATTCCTGTGTTCATGTGTGCCCAAAAGAACCACACCAAACAACTGCTCCAAATGAAAAAGTAAGAAACTGACTGAAGGAAGCGAGGATGTTGTGGGTTTATGGGGAAGCTGGACTGAGAGAGATTATCGCTATCAACAGAAAGGAGGCGATCAACTGTATCAGCAAATGAAATGTGAATAATTTACTGTCATTTATCAGGTTTGTGGACCAGGAGCTGACATGTTTGATTGATGGGGTAATGACATTAGTGTTCTGATTAGATTGTTTTAATGGATGCATACGTCTGGGGTTAATGTCCCAGAGGCAGAGGAAGGAACGGTTGAATACAAAGAAGGTGGAAGGAAGCTCAGAAAGAAAAAGGTGCACAAAAGGAAAGTAAAGTGCGGTTGGGTCTTTAAATTAAACTCCAGATGAGACGGACGTTTCCTTTTCACTCTGCTTTCCTTCTGCCTTCGTCTTTGTCCTGATTCTCCCCTGCGACAACATTACAGAATCACCCAGCTGTGGAAAAGGAAGTGAGCAGAGCTATTTTTACCTCGTCCTCCCTCCTCCAAACACGCACAAACAGACAGGCCTGCACACACACACACACACACACACACACACACCTGGTAAACAATGCAGCAGGAAGGCATTACACCCTCCTCACCCCTCTTTCATTTGGTAAACCTATCCCGGCCGTCCTGTGCTGCCGTTACATAACACAATCATCCTCGGAGGCGAAGTGAGTCAGGAGTAAACCGACAACGGCACAAAAAAAACCAAAGAGCCGCCCCGCTTATGAAAAAAGGATGAACCTAAAAGTCCCATTATCCAGACGGTGACACATCACTCTCGACTTCAATAAGCTGCCGTTAGCAGATTATGAAACATTAAGAAAGGCGGCGGCGGCGGGGCGTCCTGGCCTCCGCTGGTTCACATCAAACAGTAACCTGCAGACTTTGATGTGCCATCCTGCATCAGTTTAAGATGGAGGTTGGAAGACTGAACGCTAACACCAAACTTTTGCTCAAATATTAGACGTGTGAATAAATAAAAGTGTCTCCTCTGCAGCTCCGTTCACTTCTGGGTGTTTTTCCTTTGATCAGGTTTCCTTTTAGAGGGGATTTTTCCACTTTGTTAAAACATTTAAAGTAGATTGACACACAGTCCACAGCAGGGCGATGGCCGGCCGGGCAACTGTACTACTTCTTCCTTTAGGTGTTAACATTAAAAGTTTGGGTTAATTTTCAGTGCTTTGTTCTCTATATTTTGTGTCAGTTTGTGTCCTGTAGTGTTCTCTCGGTATTTTCTTGCTGAGTTCTGTGTTTTTTTAAATGTACATACTTATTGCTGAGGTTGTGTTTTGTACTGTCTCTGGTGTGTATATATATATATATATTTTAAAAAGAAGTAACATTTCCTCATTAAAATGTCTATAAACTCTAGAGCTTTGTTCTATATGTAGTTCAGCTGTGTATCTACATTATCCCAAATGTAGGATTTTAGTCATCGGACGTCTG